TTGGTAAATCCAAGTTTTATTGGTTAAATTATAAACAAAGTTATTTGAGTGGTTAAACTGAAAAAATCCATATTATAGTGGTTTTTATTGAATTTAAAGTTCACTAACTGTTTTATTTTATTAAAAAACAAGCTCTTAATGGTTAAATTAGAAAAATACTTTCAATTAGAAAAAAAAAACAATGTACAATGTTATTTTTAAGTAAGTTTGGCCTATTTTCTTTTAACAAACTATATTCCATGATTACACAATGATTTTTATGTTATTTGGATGCTTCCTTGTAAATGACAATCATATTTCTTCTAGTGAAAAAGTAGATTATATGAATAGTAATACGACAATAAGCATAAAGTATTATAAAGTGTCTACATCATCAAAAAAATTGTCTTGATATTAAGAAAGTTCTTTTGTTTATGGGTTGCAAAATGGGTCGCGTAACTAACAATTGAATAATCATCACAATGAATATACATGAAACATAACACATTCATCACCAACATTACATATTACAACCAGCATTGTTCACATCAAATACAATGTTAAAATACATAAGTTCTAATTGTTCAAAGTACGATAAGTGGTATTACATAAACAAAACCATACACACTTGCATATATTCTAGCTTAACGATTACTTGAGAATACAAGTTATTTTGAAAACGGTCAATATATATAATGTTGGTGAGTTCATAAGTATATTTGAGTAAAAGTCTTTGTTTCTTTCATAAAAGCCCAGAAAATCCGATATTTTCTGTAAAATGTTTTGAAAATAATGTGAAAATCGAATATAAATGCATGTGTGAATTTAATCGTGAAAAACTTGTATGAGTGTAGTTTAGGTTCACTGTATTTTGAATAAATGAAAATTGTATATGATTAATCTCCCCAGAAAATCCGATATTTTCTATTTTATAACATCGTTTAGATTTTTGTATCGTTAGTTAAGTCGTTTTGCATTGACACATTTAAAGAATTTATCTTCAAAAGGTTATCTTTTGGTATTGAATCCATATATGAGCCGTTATAACCATACATGATAATGACTAGGTCGCTCGTCTTGGTATTTTTCCAAATGCTGGTCTTGACTGAGGATGTTGTCGCCCTAGACTAGCCTAGTCTAGCCGTAGCGAACAACGAAGGCGTGGGGGTCACCCCGTATAGATCTATACACAAACTCCCGCTTTCCTACCAGGAAACTCTGATTATAACTACAGGCTATGATTGTACACTCAGAGGTGCCAACCGACATGTCTCACCAGATTCTTAACCCCTTTTTGTTCTATGTTTAACGTTTACGTATATGTAGTATGTTTTTGTATTCGAAAGGTACATATAAAGGTATTCGACATTTAATGATTTCGCAAAGGTATAGTTACGGTCATATTAACATGTGAAATTTTCATTCCAAGCCCTATTAGCATGTAGTTGGACCACAAAGGCCCAATAACATGTAAAATGGTTATTTAGACCCAATAGGCATGTAAATGGGCCACAAAAGCCCAATAACATCTAATCCAATACTTAGGCCCAAATTAACATGTAAATGGGTCGCAGCGACCCAATAAACACATCATGGAAAGCATTGGGCTCAATATACACTTAATTGGGCCCTTTGGGTCCAATGGGGAAGTACCGTGTATATTAGGCCCAATAAATAGTTATTGTTGTATTTCGATCGTTTTGTTTTATTCCGTTGTTGGTATGGCTTGAAGTTCAATAGATTGTTGATAAAAATCCTCTTTTTGTAAAAACGACGTTTTGACCAACAAATCTCAAATTAATAAATTAGGCCCAAAGTTTGTAAAAATGACACTTTAGTCCATAATTTATAAAAGTTTGCAATTTTATCCCAAATGTCTATAAATTTACAGTTTTAACCCAAAATGTTATGTTTTCACATTTAAAACCCTGTTTTGCAGAAAAATACATTTTCAGCCTCTTTTTGGTTAAAATTTACACTTTCGGCCCAATTTTGGAAAACTTTACATTTATGGTCAAATTTGAAAATAATTGATATTTTCACCTCTAAATTTGGTTTATTTATATTTAGGACTCAAACTTTGGCCAAATAACATTTTTAACCCGTAAATCTCCATTTTTTCGAAAAATTGGGCCCAAAGGCCGTGAGGCCCAAAAGTTTGGCCCAATAAGCTTAAAGTTTCATTTTTGACCCTTTTAAAAGCATGTTTAGCATAAAAATACTTTTTATTACATGTAGAACCTGTTTGGCCCTTCTAAAAACAGAATTTTCACTTTTTACCCTTATCTTTTGTTTTCTTGACAAATTTTGACCTTTAACAAGGTTTTTGTTGCATTCTTTTGCATCTTAAACATGTGTTCACTTTTGGTTTGATAATATGATGTATATAGTGTTGTAGTTTTTAGATCTTTGCTACACCATACTTAAAATTTCAAGATTCACTAAGAACTAACAAATTTTTACCAAATAAACTAAGAATTCACACAAAACATGCATATAACACATAGATCTACACATTTTACTTGCATTCTCCCCCAAAAATCATATGAAACCGAAAATAAAGGGGGTATGAACTCACCTTTGCTTGATGTTTCAGGTTTTGGAAGAAAAAGTGGAAAGATGAAGTGATTTTCGGCCCTAGTAACTCCCTTCAGTAGATTTCGAGCTTAAGAAGTTTCTAAGGTGATCATGGAGTAAGGCTTTGTAAGAAAGAGTTATTGATGTTGAAATGAAAGAAGATGTTTGTGTTTGATAGCACTTACCAAATATTGAAAACACTTGATGAAGATCCTTGAACCCAAGCAAAATTTTCGAGATTCTTTGAAGGCAAGGGTGATCCTTGAGAGTGTTTGGAGAGTGTTTGGAAGAGTGTGTGTGTGTGTTGTGGCTCTCGGCCGAGAATAGAAGAGGAGAGGGGAGAGAAAAATGGTGAAGTGACTAGCATGGATGTATGGGAGATCTTAACATTGATACATGTTGGACAAAATGGAGGTGGCACTCCAAAGTCACCCCCCATTTCACTTTTTTTTTATACATGGGCCGAGAATTTGGGCCAAGAAGAAAGGGTGGAGTGGTTTGGGCCCATTACCTTTAGTTAGGACATTTAGATCCTAATCATCAAGTTTTTCGGCCCATTGGGGTATTGGAAGCATTCACGGCCCAATTTGAATAAAAGAATGGGCTTATGGCTTACTAAAGGTTAATTGGATTAGTTATGGCCCAATAAGGCCCATTAGGGTTAGAATGGATCATTCTAGACCCAAATGGTCCAAAATGTTTTAGATTTATGAATTGGATCAAATAAGGATCCAATTAGGGCTTCTAAGTCCAATGAAGTTGAATT